CAAAGGAGGAAGCAACAATGCTTGATAAGAAATGTACTCATTATCTTGCCCATGTAATTGTAACCCCTCTGTATGGTATTTTCACAATAAAAAAAAAAGCCTTCCCTAAGCCTTGCACTGGTGGCTGAGGTTGGTAATCTTAGCTACTTTGAAGGTTCAAAGCTAGTCCAGGTAGGAAAGAGTGCATATGACTCTTATCTCCAATTAAGCACCCAAAAAGCCAGAAGTGAAGCTGTGGCTCAAGTGGTAGGGCACTAGCTTTAAGCAACAAAGTTCAGGGACCACAGCCAGGACCTGAGTTCAAGCCCAGGACTGGCACCAAAAAAAGAGAAAGAAATGCTGCCCATATACAATCCTTCCCCAGAACCATTCAGTAGGTTTTCATCTATCATTCTTGCCATTGCTCTCTACCACACAGGCACTATCCCAAATAAGGTTTCCTAATATTAGAAGCAAAATTAGTATATCGTGCAAAAAAATCCACAATCCATCATGTACATATACAAACAAAATTTTGACAGTTAATGTCATGAAAATGTTACTTCAGGGCATTGACTACGCCCACTCCCACAATAAATGAAGTTTCAACTTTATGTTGTTAACAATTGTAAATATTTCTATTCTTTTTCAACTTTATAGTAAAAGCGCTGTATAGCGGGGTTACAGTTACATAAGTCAGGTAATGAGTATATTTCTTTTTGGACAGTGTTAAATATTTCTCTTCATAGATGCTTCAAAGAGCCAGATGTGGTAGTACATGACTGTAATCCCAACACTCTGAGAGGCAAAGGAATGAAAAAAATTCTAGGCTAGGTGCTGGTGGCTCACACCTGTAATCCTAGCTACTCAGGAGGCTGAGATCTAAGGAGTGAGGTAGAAGCTGGCCCAGGCAGGAAAACCTGTGAGCTTCTTATCTCTAATAAACTACCCAAAAACTGGAAATAGAGTTGTGGCTCTAAATAAAAAATAATAAAGTTCAGAAACAGTGCCTGAGTTCAAGCCCCAGGCCTGACACACAACATAAGAGGAATAAGTCAAAACAGAATAAACACATATAAATAGAAAATACTTCAAAGAGATCTATTTAAGAGGCATATCATCCACTATTAGAATTTAAGTCATATTTTTTTACTTGGCTCAGTAGTAGTACATGGGCTCATATAGTCATAGAAAACCACCCAAGTAAATGTAGTTTCATCATTTTACCCTAACATTTCTGAGATCAACATTCAAAAGGATGCTGAAGAATCCCGCTCTCTTGCTTTTCTTCCAAGTTTAATTCACCGATTCCTTCTCTCCCAATGCGTAGGTTTGAGATGCAACATAAATTTACAGTTAAGGGCTGGGTCAGATAAAATGAAGATGTTCAAGTTTTAATAGGGAAAAAAATTCTCTAGCACTAGATGTCAACATGATTATAAATGTAACTAACTGTAGTTAGGAAGTGTTTGTGGAAATGATCCAGAATATATGTCATAATGTATTTTAAATGTTTTTTTTGTTTGTTTAAAAAACGTGTGTCTTTATTTTTTCATTTTTTTAGCTTTTAATATATATTTCTTATTGTAAAAATACTGTACAGAGGGCTTACAGTTAAATGAGTAGGGTAATAAGTGTATTTCCTATCGAGCATTGTTTACTCCTCCTTTGTTTTTCCCTACCATCCCTGCCTCCCCACCTCCCCAACTCCTCCCCCTCCCCCCCCATGAAATTGTAAAGTTTGTTTTCAACATAGTGTCTTCTACATCTCACTGTTACAATGGGTCCACCTGTATCCCTATTTAAGCATTTTCTTTTCTCCCTTTCCCTCCCCAAATCAGAAAAATGTATATACAAAAAAAATAGGGAACGCTTCACGAATTTGCGTGTCATCCTTGCGCAGGGGCCATGCTAATCTTCTCTGCATCCTTCCAATTTTAGTATATGTGCTGCCGAAGCAAGCACTTGAATACTCTTAAGGTGAAGATTAAAAAAACTTTTCAAGAATAAAGTTTATAGAGCCCCTGAGGTGCTTAGACCCCAGTTACATGATCATGAATTCAGTAAATATTATAGATACAGCTGTGCCTCTTAATAAGAGGAAACTTTGAATTATATGGAATTTTATATGACTATCTCCTGCCATATAGTTCGCATTACCTCTCCCCCTTCTTTTCCCTTAAAAGTTATTTTACCTATACCAAAAATAGAGAGAAAAGCCAGGTGGGGATGACACCGCTGTAATTCTAGACTCAGGAAGCTGAGATCTGAGGACCGGGGTTTGAGTGCCAGCTGGGACAGACAGATGCTGGAGACTCTTATCTCCAATTAAAAGCCAGATTTAACACATGGCTGAAGTGGCAAAGTGCCAGCCGTGAGTGAAAAGGACATACAAGAACATGAGGCCCAGAGTTCAAGGCTCAGTAATGGCACACACAGAAAAATATGGAAAAGTCAGAGCAGGAAAAGTAGTAGAAATGAATGGATTTTCAGTATCATGTAATTCCATCTACCTGATACTGAGAAATGGCCCCAGACTTCCTAAGAGTGCTGCAGAGCTCAGGGTTTTCAGGACAAGTTTACCCTTGCTGCCTGCTTCCAACTAGCACCCATCTTTTCTTTTCTCGGCTTTCCTCTCCCTTTTCCTTCTCAGCTCCTTTATTTGCCTCCCTAAATAGTCTTTGGACTGCTATCCATGACCCAGGCAGTAGTAGCCAAGAAGATGGCCCTGACTGGCCATTACACAGTTACCTGGCCAGACCAGTTCCAGACCAGGTGGGCACTGTGTACCTGGAGGTGGGGAGACGCTCCCTCAGGGATGGTGATGGCATTTTAAAAGAGGAAAGAGGCTCAGGGTTTAGCAGGTATTTGAATTGAATGACCTTCAAATATATAAGGCTCTTGGAACTTATCACGTGTAATAGCTAAGATTTTTGTTAGCTGACCCCTGGTCTTTATTTACATGGTGGTTTTTCAATCCTGTTAGTCTTGTCTACAACCACCACACAAGTTGGCTGAGTGACAAAGTAGAGGAGAGCCTAGCA